GCCACACTCCAGGTGGAGTGGGCTTTCACACCAAGGGGGCACGGTCGACCTTGCTGCTGGTATGCCAAAGCAATGGCGTCCACTATCCAGTTAGACAACCTCTGCTTGGAGAGAGCCTTTCCCTTCAGCTTCCCACCATGACAGACAAAGAGCTGGTCTGAGATCCTGAAACACTGCGTCCTATCTACGTAGGCACGGAGAGCACGTACTGGACAGAGCAGTGCCAAGGCTGGGTCTGCCTCCTCCGAGGGCAGCGCTTGCAGGTTCACTACCTGGTCCCGAAAGGGAGTGGTAGGAACCTTGGGCACATATCCAGGCCGGGGTCTCAGGATCACGTGAGAGTTAGCCGGCCCGAATTCCAGGCACGCTTCGTTAACGGAAAATGCTTGATGGAGGCCAATGCAACCAGGAGCGCTGTCTTCATCGACAGGAACTTAAGCTCCACTGATTGCAAGGGCTCGAAGGGAGCACTCCGCAGGGCAGTTAAAACCACTGAGAGGTCCCAAGAGGGTACAAGAGGAGGATGAGGAGGATTCAGTCTCCTCGCTCCTCTCAGGAACCTGATGACCAGGTCATGCTTCCAATGGACTTACCCTCAACTGCAACATGATGTGTGGTGATAGCGGCAACATAAACTTTCAGGGTGGAGGGAGACAGCCTTCGCTCCAACCCTTCTTGCAGGAAGGAAAGCACGACACTGATCAGGCATATCGTGAGGTCTTCTCGTTGAGAGTAGCACCAGTTGACGAAGAGGTTCCACTTCAACGCATAGGCATGTCTCGTGGACGATGCTCTAGTGGAAGTGATGGTAGCCACCACCGCTGGTGGTAGGGTACTCAAACCTGACTTGTCCTGTCCAGGAGCCACACGTGGAGGTTCCAAGATCGGGACGAGGGTGCCATAGTGTGCCCCGTCTCTGAGAAAGGGTCCTTCCTCAGAGGGATTGGCCAGGCAGGTGCTGTTGCGAGGAGTACAAGTTCGGAGAAACAGGTCCGGCTGGGCCAAAGAGGCGCAACCAACATGACCTACTCTTCGTCCTCCCTGATCTTGCACAGGGTCTGTGCAAGGCGGCTCACTGGGTGAAACGCATACTTGCGGAGGCCCCGCGGCTAGCTGTGCGCCAATGAGTCCGTGCCGAGCGTGCCCTCGGTCAGGGAGAAAAACAGGTCGCAGTGGGACGAGTCGTGGGAGGCAAACAGGTCTACCTGTGCGTCCCCGAACTGATCCCAAATCAGCTGAACCGACTGGGGATGGAGTCACCATTCTCCAGGAAGAGGCTGAGACGTGAAAGCTCTAAGGCTCCACAATTCAGGGATTCCGGAATATAATGGCTCGAAGCGACCTCAGATGATTCTGACTCCATAAGAGGAGGTGGCGGGCGAGTTGCGATATACGGCAGGAGCGTAGACCACCTTGTCGGTATATGTACGCCACTGTCGCGGTATTGCCTGATCGGACTAGTACGTGCTGGTTCTTGAGCAATGCATGGAAGTGGTGCAGAGCCAATCGTACTGCCAGCAACTTGAGGCAATTGACATGCAGAAAGCGCTGGGGTCCTGTCCAGGAGCCCTTGGCAGCATGTCCATTGCACATGGCACCCCAACCTGTGGTGGAGGCATCTGTTGAGACAACAACCAACATGCCTGGAAACTCGATCTAGGGGCACACCGGCCTGTAGGATGCTGAGGTTCGACCATGGGGAGAAGGTTTGATGGCAGGTCGGAGTAACTGGTACTCAGAGTGTGCCCTGTTGCCATGCCCACCTCGGGACTCGATCGCGAAGCAAGTGCTGAAACTGTCTCATATGAAGCAACCCGAGCTGTGTGGCTGCCGCTGCGGATGCCATATGCCCCAGGAGCCTCTGAAAAAGTTTCAGTGAAACCGCACTCTTGCTCTGGATCTGATGCAAGCAAGTCAGCAGTGACTGGGCGCGCTCGCTCGTAAGCTGCGCGGACATGGCGACCTAGTCGATTTCCATACCGAGAAAAGAGATCCTCTGCACGGGGCAAAGTTTGCTCTTCTCCCAGTTGAGCCAAAGGCCTAGGTGCCAGATCACTAGGTCCCTGTGTTCGCAAACCTGGTCTCGAGAGTGAGCCAGGATTAGCCAGTCATCGAGATAGTTCAGGACGCGAACCCTGTGTAGCTGAAGCAGCACAAGGGCTGCCTCGACGACCTTCGTAAAGACGCGAGGAGACAGGGCTAGCCCGAAGGGGAGAACCGCGTACTGATATGCCTTCCCCTTGAAAGCAACCCGAAGAAACGCTCTGTGTCGAGGAAGAATGGAGACATGAAAGTAGGCGTCCTTCAGGTCGATCGCTGTAAACCAATCCTGTGGTTGAACACATTCGAAAATGCATTTGGCCATGAGCATTTTGGCCGGAAGCCTGTGAAGGGATTGGTTCAAAACGCGCAGATCCAGGATTGGCCGTAACCCACCGGATTTCTTCGGTACAATGAAGTAGGGGCTGTGGAACCCGAACTTCATTTCGGATGGAGGGACAATCTCGACCACACCTTTCGCCAACAAGGTTGCGACTTCTGCACGCATGACAGGGGCATTGCGACCGACCGAGCGGGACAGGTTGGGAAGCTGAAGCCAGGCCCAAGTGGCAAAGGGGCGCCCTCGCCGGTGAACAGACTGAGTAAACTGTGCCGGCGGCTGGGTGGAGGCAGCAGCTGGCCGCCGGGGCAGTATGTGCTTAATAGCCTCAGTCTGTCTCTGGGCGGCCGAGAACTTTTAGGCGAAGTCCTCGACCGCGCCGCCGAAAAGGCCTGCCTGGGATATAGGGGAGTCGAGGAGATGTGTCCGCTCGGTATCCCGCATATCGGCCAGGTTAAGCCACAGGTGTCTTTCCTGGACCACAGCTGTGGACATCACCTGACCAAGGGAGCGTGCGGTCACCTTCGTCGCTCGGAGAGCAAGGTTGGTGGCGGTGCGCAGCTCATCAAAGAGCTCTTGGTCAGCTCTGCCCTCGTGCGTGTCCTAGAGCATCATGGCCTGGTAGACCTGGAGGATGGCCAAGGCATGCAGTGAGGCGGTGGGCTGCCCCGCAGCTCTGTAGGAACTCGCCACCAAGGTAGACGAAAACCTACAGGCTTTGGAGGGGTGCTTTGGGTCACCATGCCACATCAAAGCACTCTGTGGACACAGTTGCATCACAATAGAGCGTTCGACAGGGGGAACCCCAGTGTACCCTTTCACCGCGGCCTCATCAAGGGCAGAAAAAGCGGAGGAGGTCCCCGAGCGATCACAGGAAGACAACGGGGACTTCCAGGAGCTTGTGACCTCCTTATGCACTTCCGGGAAGAAAGGACCTGGGGGGGGGGGGGGGGGGGGGGGGGGGGAGTACCACGCTAACCCGATGCTCGCAGCGGCCCGGGAAAGCATAGCTGTTAGTTCCGGGTTGGACTCGGAAAATGCCGTGACTCCGGGGGGCGGCAGCACATCCGAATCCTCATCCACAGAAAATACCAGCTCGCCTTGTGATGCGGCGATCGACATCGCCTCATCATCTGGAGCACCGAATGAGACACGAGGCACATCCGAAGACGGCACCGCGGCTGCACTCGAGGTGCTCGCGGGTTGCTGCGCTGGTGAGGGGGGTGTGGCCCGAGGCAGTGTTCCACACCATAACCCTCAGATCACCCTGACCACCAGCCAAAGTGTCGCCTCTAGTGGAGGGGACAGATCGGGGTGTGGCAGAGGGGACTCTACCTTTAATAAGGTCACGGAGTATCGATCTTAGCGCAGAGATGTTCATGTTCCCGCAGTGAGAACATGACTCATCCACGAAAGCTGCCTTTGCATGTTCTAAGCCCAAACACGCAAGACAACGATCATGCCCATCAGATAATGAGACGGAACGACCGCACCCAGAAATACACGGGCGAAACATCTTGAAAAAGACGTGCCCGTGCAAGCTCTTTTGTGAAAGGACGCCAGCAGCCTGTGCTGAAGCGGCCAGGGAGAAACACACACGCTGGATGCAGACCCCTGCACAGATCAGCAGGCAGGAATGTGAAACTCGCTGGAAATCGCCATTGCACCAACACAGACTGGAGAGCTGCTCGTCTCAAAGGATACTCAATGACACTCAGAGAGAATTCAGGCTGTAGGAGTAAAGAGGACCTCTTGGCTGCGAAGCAAAAACATGTCTGCATTCTGCCAGCGTTCTTCCTTATATATCCACGAGGTGGGGCGGAGCTACGCTATGCAAATTCCGCAGACCCATGGCATTTCTTTGCCATTGGCTCGTTTTTTTAATACTCGAAGGTGATAGGCTTCTAAGCGAAACCCCTATTTCGTCGCCATTCGACGTACCTCGAAGTGACTACTCAGGGAACACAATAACACTTGCAGACAGAGGAGACTACAGCCTGAGAGAACTTGAAACCACAATCTAACACGAGACCAGAGCTCACAAGTTCATCCCGTGCGCTCACGACAGAAGACAAACACATGGAACATGAATGCCTGAACCCTGACACAGAACCGAAACCAAACAAGACCAAAGTGCTGGGATCCAAAAACCACGCTCCACACACAAATCAACTCATATGGATAGGAGAGCGAAAACAATGACGGAGTAGGAGTGTGACAGAACCCTGACAGATATCTATTAGTTATTTTTATGTTATTCTATTCACCTGGTGGTGTCTTGCCTTGAAGTGGTATCTGCATTTTGGAACAGTGGTTTCTAACTGGTACAAGCAGGTCATTACATGGTTTGGTTTCTAACTGGTACAAGCAGGTCATTAGATGGTTTGAAGCTAGTAAATCATCTTGACCAAGAACAAACCAGCTAAAGATGGTGAGTCTGTTTTTGGAACAAAGTGGCTGGTTGACCAGCAAATAACCTACTTGGAAGAGCTACAATGTTCCAAATATTGTGGGGTTTGAACAAGAAATATACAGCGGAGTAAAAACTAATATTGTTCAGTTCTTCAAGGCAAGCAAGTGATCAATTTTAGGGCAAAATGCAGAGAATGGAATGAGATACCTGAGTTAGGTTTCTCCTCAGGTTTATTGTTGACATGTTCTTCATGAAGATGGGGTTGAAGGCATGAGAAATGGCATGAGAAGAGACAGAAAGGAGTAAGGTAGAAAGATCAACATGCGTGATCTTGTGGAGCACATGAAAAAGGCTACGGACAGAGGAGTAATGAAATTATCTGGCATTTATAAAGGCATTGGGACAGATTCATGGGTTTGGGCTGTGATTTTGAATGGCAATAGCATTTCAGATTACTGCTGTCTGATTTTGTGAGTATTTAAAGGGAGAGAGAGAGTGTATTGCTTACCTTGCTCTATACTGCTGCTCTTTGCAGGGAGTTGTGGCAGTTGTCTGCCTCTGCGCCCTAATGACGGTGTCCCTGCTGGGGAATAATGTCCACCTCGTGGAAGTTCTCTGGAAAGAGAGATTTTTTGTAAAAAATACAGGAGAAAAAACATTTTATAATGTGATTTAAAGGTTACATTTCATTGTAACACACTATGTAGTTAGGGAGAAACAAGAAAACATTTGAAAGAGAAATTATTAACTTTTATTGTTAAAGGTGCACTTATAACTTTTTGTGTCAAATTGTTTTGCTTTAAAGGCTGGAATACATTACAAAACTTTTAAAATCTGAACATGTAAAAAAAAATCATCATCATCATATACTTTGTCGACTTTGAAAATGGTTTCAGTGAAAACAATCGGTACACTATGACAGAAGATTACACACTACGAGACTTTCAAATCGTTCCAAACTCAACAAACTCACACAGAAACATGTGCCTCGTTGCTAAGAGGTGCATGAAAAATGATAACAATATGTGTTCTAAAGTCATCTTAAAATATCAAACATGTTTCATAACTAGATGGAATCAGGGTCTGAAGTAAAAAAAAAAAAAAATGTGCATATCATACACTGCATGATTTTTTAAGAAATCCGTCAACTCTGACTGCCCAGTATCTGCAGACTGGTTATGACTTTCAGCAACTACTCTGTATTCCTACAGAGCCAATAAAATTGCAACGGTGATGGAAAAAAATATGAGATGGGATGAAAAAATATATTTTGCATTTCCAAAGTTTCTCATGAAGTTTTCCTTCATGTCCCTTTAGGGGCTCCGTATATTCCAGCCTTAACTTAAAATAATGTTCACTCGCATGAGATGACTTTTTTTTACTAAAAAAAGTTTTATTCAAAGAGTGGGATTGTGGTCATCACGCTATGAATACATGACCAGTGCACATATTATCTCCATAACCCCTCCCATTATTAAACACTTTTATTGTGTAAAATTTGTATTGTGTGTCACAAATACATCTGTGAATAGGGTATTTATACATTGACTATTTTTGTTGGTAGGTGTTCAAATCAAGTTCAAGTACACTGTTGTATCAGCCAACAAAACAAAATAACAAATAATCACCAAGTGAAACTTTGAGATTTAATGTTATCAGTTAAAAAAAAAAATTTATGGCGATAACATTTTTAAGAAACAGATTTTGTATTACTAAGACATCACAATAAACAGCAGTGCACAAACTAAAGCAGATAAATCAAGTTCTGAGGTGCTCCCAGCATGCACCTGTCAGCTCGCGGAGAGTTAGGGCAGGAACCCCCTAAGCTGGTCTGGCCAAAGGGCATGAGGGGAGGCTCTCTCCTCCTCCTGCTGCCCCTCAGGATAGAGGTGGGCTGGAGTCTAAACACAGCCACCGCAAAGAAGGTCAAGGGCAAAAAATAAAAATGTAATGAGATAATCAGACATGCAAAAAAAACAACTAAAAAACCATAAAGGGTAAACCAACTAAAAAAAAGGTAAAACTAGTGAAAAAGCTGAAATACATTCACACACACAAAAATATAAGTGATAAATATATGTTCAGAGGTTTATTATGAGATCTTACCTGTCACCATCAATGGTTTTCTTGTTAGCTATCTGAGAGCTTGGCCTATCCAAATTGCCAGAATGCCTTTGAGATGGAAAATGACTGATCCATAAAACAAACAGAGTGGAAAAAACAAAACAAAAGGAGGAATGTAATAGCTAAATGGAAAGGTATCATGGAGTTCAAGGCCAGGATGATGGATCTCTGATTTAACCAAAACAGTTAAAGGCTGAGATTGCAGAACAGACTCCTCAAGAACACTACCGTTTAAAAGTTTGGTGTCAGTAAGATTTTTAAATCGTTAGTCTGTTATCCTCACCAAATTGCATTTATTTAATAAAAAAAAAGGTAAAACAGTAATATTGTCAAATATTATTACAATTTCAAGTAACTTTAATTTAATACATTTAAAAATGTTATGGTAAAGCTGTGATTGTTAAGGTGAATTTTCAGCAACCATTAGTCCAGTCTTCATTGTCACATAATCCTTCAGAAATCATTCTAAAATGCTGATTTGGTGCTCAACAAAAATTACTCATATTATTATTATGTATCTGTCACACTACTAGAAGGATGAGGGCACACTGAATACAGTTAACAGACTTTATTTTAAACACTTGATGCAATATCCGATCCGAAGACACATGAACTGAGAGCGGACTCTAATAAACTTCCAACTTGAATGCAGAGAGGAGATACAAGGTCCGTATGCACCGAAGAACTCTGAGAATCAGACTGGAGAATCCTGAAGCACCGCCACACACAATGGCTGCTTGGAAATACCCACAGGAGAGTAGTTAGTGATAAACTTGAGTATACTTGCTGCAAGCACATGGGAATCCTGGAACCAGAGAAGCTTGAGGAAGCGGGTGAGTCACACGCGTCGATAGACGAGACCGGACAGAGATCAATGGAGAGACTGAAGCTTATGCTGCGTTCCAGGCAGGTTTTTGAGCACGTAAATCACGACTTCAAACCACGACTCACGACTTTGTAGCGTTCCAGGCCAGCCACGCCAAACTACCTGAGCACAATATACTTATTGTTTCATACACATAACATTGTTATACATAATCGTGTGTGTATTATTATCATTATAATTATTATATTATTATTAATTTGACTGCGTTATATTGTCCTAAAGTGTATTCTCACCGTGCACCGCCTGCAGAAACACTGCATCTGTAGGGGCTGCCATTGTTGTTTTGTATGGTTTCGCGGGCTATGTGACGTCAGAGCTCGTAACTGGGAGTACATCGATCTAGTACGAGTTCACGGGTGGGAAGTCATGGGTTTGACTGCCGTTCCAGTGCACTTTCACGGGTATAAGGTTGGAAAAACACGGGTTACAGGTTGCCTGGAACGCGGCATTAAATCCTGTGTGCAGCGTGGTGAGTTCATGATGCAGTGCAGGTGGTGAGTAATCAGTATTCAGGGGATGATGAGCGTGACCAGGTGTGCTGAGTTGATGCTGGCTGGGGTGTGTCGCTAGGTGTATTCAGTCCAGGGAGATGCATGATGGGAAATGAAGTCTGTAATCACCCAGGGAGTGCGTGGCTAATCGTGACAGTATCAATGTAAAAGCCTTCATTGTCACTTTCGATTAATTTAATGTGTTCTTGCTGAATAAAAATATTAATAAAACAATAATAATAACAATAATAATAAAATCTTACTGACCCCAAGCTTTTAAAAAGTTACACAGACACTATGTCCTGGCACAGTTTGTTTGTGAGTAAGAATAGTATACTCGTAGGCACTGGATTCCCCTTTGTTTTCACATACCTTTCTCTTTCAAGTGAGTGGAAGTTTGACTCTGGTCTTAAACAAGTCGTGCTGGCACTTCTTACTCTGTCTAATGAAGGCTGAAGATCACTGCACAGAAAAAAAAGAAAGAAAGAAAGAAAGAAAGAAAGAAAGAAAGAAAGAAAGAAAGAAAGAAAGAAAGAAAGAAAGAAAGAAAGAAAGAAAGAAAGAAAGAAAGAAAGAAAGAAAGAAAGAAAGAAAGAAAGAAAGAAAAAGAAAAAAGAAAAAAAAAGAATTAGTATCATACAGAAAAGCCATACGACTAGTTGCTTGCCATTATTTCTCAGGCATAAATACTGAAATATTTTCCTGTACCACACACACAATAAAAATGTCTCATTACTACCCCTCACTACCTATTGATAGTACAGTTATCTTGTTTGGATTTAGTCAGCTGAGCACTATTTCCTTACCCAGAGCTGACCTCATCTGTGAACCTGAGAACACGCTGTGGAATGGCACTAAGAGGGATAACTCCATCCCTCTCTGTTCGCCGTGGCGGTTTGTTCTTTAAGCATGCAGGGAGGGTAGAGCTTAGCATGGGAAGAAATAAAGAAATAAACAAAAGCATGCATAACAGCCACAAAAAGAAAGTAAAAAATCTACGAAACTGAAGTAAAAGAAGAGAGGGGCTTGGTGGCTTTTTGTATGCGAACATCACAAGAAGGGAAATTACTGATGCTCTTAGTTTAATATACACTATATGGTCAGAAGTATTGGAACACACCTCTTAATTATCAGACCCAGTATCAAGCACCTAGACATGCAGTCAACATTTACAAACATTTGTGGAAAAAAATGGTCGTTCTGAAGAGCTCAAGCATTGTTCACCTGTGATAGGATGCCACGTTTGCAGTCAGTTTGTGAAATTTCATCTCTGCTAGATATTTCACAGTCAACTGAAAGTGGTAGGCTATTATTCAAAAGTGGAAGCTATAGGAACTGCAGCCACTATGTGGAAAACCACGTAAAGTCACAGAGCGGTGTCACCGAGTGCTGAGCCGCATGGTGTGTAAAAGTCGCCAACGCTCTGCTGATTCCATAGCCGAAGTGTTCCAAACTTTCACTGGCATTAATATTAGCACAAAAAGTGTATGGCAGGAGCTTCGTGGAATTGGTTTCCATGGCCGAGCAGCTACATGCAAGCCTCACATCACCAAGTTTAATGCCAAGTGTTGGATGGAGTGGTGCAGGAGTATGCTACTTGCCTGACTGCCAACTGTTAAATGTAGTGGAGGAGGGAAAATGGTACAGGGCTGTTTTTCAGGGGTTGGCCCCTTTCTTCTAGTGAAGGGAAATCTTAATTTTTCAGCATACTAAGACATTTTGGACAATGGCATGTTTCCAACTTTGTGGGAACAGTTTGGGGAAAGCCCTTTTCTATTCCAGCATGGCTGTGCCCTAGTGCACAATGCAAGGTCCATGGTTGGATGAGTTTGTTGAGGAAGAACTTAATTGGCCCACACAGAGCCTTGACCTCAATCCCATCAAACACCTTTGGGATGAACTGGAATGGATATTGCGAGCCCAGTATTCTTGTCCAACACCTGACCTCACAAATGCTCTACCGGATGAATGGGTAAAAATTCCCACAAGAACACTCTCCAAATCTTGTGGAATGCCTTCCCAGAAGACTGGAAGCTATTACAGCTCCATATTACTGTCTGTATTTAGAAAGTGATGTCATTACAGCCCCTGTTGGTGTAATGGTCAGGTGTCCCATTACTTTTGTCCATATAGTGTATGACCTATCGGTGAAATGGGGTTGTCAACTTCAGTGTACAATGTTATATTTATATTTGGGTCATGATATGAAAATATTGTAATTCGTAAAATATTGTGATTCTTTGTCTTTAGTCAATTTAAAATTATGATTTATTGCGTCTTCTGCTCACTTGATTCTCATTAATCTTCACTGGTCTTTGGACTTTACCTAAAAATATATAGATAACTCATTCTGATTTTGAATTCAGATTGAAAAGTAATAACTTCGTATGCGTTTGCAAACCAAAAGATTGCCCTGAATGGTAGTTAATCTGCCTTTTCCCCTTAAAATCTTTCAACAAAGACAATTAATAATATACATACAGTTACTTTTAAAGGAAAACATTGTTAACTACAGTACAGAGTTGAAAGGTTGTATGAGACACCCTTGAGAGTACAGCACAATGAAAGGGATGAAGAACAATGTATGTAATGACTAAAACAGCACACAAATCACACTAAGCAGAGGTACATTTTGCATTATCACAAGGGTCTGGAAAGCTTCAATAACAGAATTGGAATATGATCAAGCACAACATTGATACTCGGTTAGTTTCAACCAGCTTACCTGTAAATATCTTTATGTATACCATTCACTAACAATGGCATCTTTGGGGGAAGTGTGTTACAGTGCCTAGCTAATTTCCTAATTTAATTAGCACAAACAAGCAGGCATCAAAAAGAGCAAAAAAATTATGAAAATTATTACTCAAGCAAACACACAAAAATGTTTACATTTTTTAACATGGCAGGCATAGAAAAAAATTCTTAAAAGTAAAAGGAACTCAAAGATACTTGAATGAGGCACATAATAAATAAGTATTGCAGTAAATCCTCATTTGGTTGATTATGTCTTTGTCAAATGATTTGTATGCTCTAAAATTGTCAAGAAATAAGTATCAAAAGGAACATAGAAATGCAAGGGATTCTAAGATACAGGTAACTCAGGGTGGCAGCTTACAGTGAGGGTTTGATTCACAGCTCTGGATTTTTACCTGTTTGTATGCAGGCACTCAGCACTCCCACCTCGGATTGATCTGTGCACCTCCAGGACCTCGCTTAGGTTGCCATGGTGATGGTGAAACATTGACAATTTGACAACCAAACATAAAAGAAAAGAGGATGGTGAGGAAAAAAGAAAAGAAAAAAAGAAAATGTGTAGAAAATAATAGACATGTATTTAGCAATATTTGTACTATTATTAATGGGAATGAACTAAAAACTATGGCTGTTAGTCATTTTAGTAGTATTAGTATTTAGTAAAGTAATAGCATAAAACATTTTGTTGACAATATGAAAATCAAGTCAAACTCCGTTTCTAAAACATCAAATGTTCTTGATGCTACTTATCATTAATAGTAAAAAGATCCAGGTGTGAATACAATTATGCAGTTCAATATAGCTAAAGCATTCAAATAATAAAACGGCACAAATCAATGTAGAGAGCTGAGTTACAATGTTTTCCACAAACACACACACACACATTTTTATATATGTATTTGGAGCATTAAGCACTAAAATAGCGATACCTGTCCTCTGAATATTCATAGTCCGAATCTCCGGAGCGATGTTCCTGGTGGGAGTCATGGTAACGAGAGGGAGAGCAGGAATGATGATGGTTTTTGTGGATCTCATCCAGACTCCTGATGAGAGGATGAAGGGTGATGAGTTGTACAGCACACATAAATCATCCTCTATAGGGCAAGACACTTTACACAGCTATATCACCTCCAGCATAATATTCTTACAATATAATATTAAAGAAAGCAAGTATGAACGGTGCATGAATCTGTCTGTATAAAAACACTGAACACTGTAAAAAGGTTTTCATTACTACAACATTTGTTTCCAACCATTTTATTCAACATAATTATTTAATTATAAAATATAATAATTGATAAATAATACAGGTATGCTTTACAGTGATAACAGGAAAACAATGATTCAATGATGCAAACTAAATTCAATTCTGCTGTAAAGCAGCTCTAAAAAGATAATAGTAAACAGTCATTATTCAGTTAAAATCAGTTCAGTGTTGTTTCATTTCGGTTCAGTAACAGTGTAAAGTACATCAATTATGAAATGAGTTGAATTCAGCTATATAAAGCAGCTCTGCAGAAAACATCTAGATTACGACTGTAACCTCTGTTCCCTGAGAACAGGGAACGAGACACTGCGTCGATTGACGCTTTGGGGAACCCCTCAGGTGTGAAAGGTGTCTGAAATCACTATCAAATCACGGCAATCATATTGACCAGCGACAGCCCGTGAATCATTAGCGTGAATGATTAACGTTTGACCTGGAAGTATAAAAGGGCGCCTTGCAAACATGACAATTCGTCTGAAGGGACTGTTTGGTAGGCAGGCCCCGAGGCATGGCGAAAGACGCAGTGTCTCGTTCCCTGTCCTCAGGGAACAGAGGTTACAGTCGTAACCTAGACGTTCCCTTTCGAAAGGGAACTTGCACTGCGTCGATTGACGCTTTGGGGAACGATATACCAACGCCACCATGCTAAGGGGATTGCATGCCATTTGGCAGTGACAACTGTCAGAACCAGCAACTTCAAATGAAATGCAAGAACCACTCACCCTCAGGTAACATTGGGCTGTCAGTGACAGCATTCCCTACGGTCATAGCCCAAGCTATATGCTTCACAGGAAAACCTCCATACACTTTGTTTGATGAGAGGCCTACCCGGGCCTGCTCAAGGGCCTAGGACCACAGCTTCAAATTAGAAGGGGTCCCTTCTAGGGAATGTGGCTAGGGAACCCGAAGGAACCCCAGCCAGTCACTATTTAGGGGAACGTACCACCCGAAATGCCACCAGGACGGCCTGATCTGGTGTCACTTACATTGGACACTTCAGTCTGGCCACTTCCTGTCTGTCCGAAGGCAGAGCCTCAGGACACGTGCCTTTAGGTAAGGCATCCAACCAGAGGGACTGCGAAGCTGGCAGTGAACCACTCTGCCCGGATCTCAGAGACGAGGTATTCCGGAGAGAATGACTCAGCATAGTGGTTACAACCCTTGCTAGCGAGGGGAGTTTCTCTGCTCGATCCACGGATCTACCCAGCGCTTATGTTTCAAAGCACTGAGGAGGCCTGAGAAAGCCTAAGGACTGATCTAACTGGGAGGCTTCACAAGATGCCTATGACCATCTGACCAGACCAAGGAGGCTGAGTACTCAAAGTGACCCTCAGTAAGGGGAGCACATGGCCTGCCTGGTAGGCAAACCAGGCTGTAGGCTAGATAGAGGTTCCAGGAGGGAACCAGTAGGAGAAAGGTAACACTTTAGTCGTGCTAGGGCGAAAGCTTGCCTTCAGAAGCTGCCTGCTAAGGCCAGCTGAACTGATAGCAAAGCTGCCACAGTTGCCAGAACCCAGTATTACTGGGAAATCCACTCATAGGGAGGACTGGTGAAGCCTACTACCTGATAGCCAGTCAGGCTAGCTGTCCTGTTGCCCGTACTTGGTAACCCGCCTTCTGGGAGGACTGGTGCGGTCAATGGTCTGACCCGGTTTGGAGAGGACGCTGGCGCACGTTTGGCTGCCGCTTCTCCTGCCGTATTTTAGTTGTTTATTTTGGTTTTACTTTTTATTTTACTCTTATTTTAATTCTCCTAAATCATTTTAACTTCTCTGAGTTTTAACTTGCTGCTGAATTTGCACACACTTACCTTGTCTGAACCAGCGTTTTTAAAGCGTCTCCCCTGGTCTCTCTGCTGCTGGTCTCATCTTTTGCCGTGTTTCTCCTGCACTGTCCCTGCTGCCTGCCTACTGTTTGCGGCTGTCTCCGTGTGAGATCAGACGGATCCCTGGTGTTGTGTCAAATTCTGTGTGTGTAATGGCTGTATAACAACTTTGAACGTCATCATGCGACTTTACTTAATCACCTGGATTTATTGCCGTCTTTATTATATCAGGAACCAGCGTTAAGCAGTGGACTGAACTTCTGGACATCACCATGCTGAGGTACTCTTTATCTGAACTTTTATCCCTGGATCACCATGGCCGTCCAAATATCACCGTTATACAATCTCTGCGTTCCTTGCACCTCCTCCGCCGGCCTAGTTACATTTATAGAGGCTCTCGTCAGAGTCGTTCTGCTGCCGGTGCTGGAGTTACTGCGTTTTGGTCGAACAGCAGGCGCACGCTGCGTTGTACTTCTGTACTCCGTGGAATTTGTCATGGAAATCTACGCAATCCAGAGGCTCTCTCTCAAAAGTTTGTGGTGAATGTGTTCTGCAGCACTATGCGAATTGCTCACTTTAACACGAGGTCAATAAACAATAAAACGGCACTTATCACTGATACTATTCTCCATAAAAAAATCGACAATCTTTGTCTCAGTGAAACATTGCACAAAGACAATGACTATCTTAATCTGAATATGTGTGTCTCGTCTGGATATAAATACATCGACGTGCCTCGAGCATCTGGTAAAGGTGGTGGCCTGGCTGTAATATTTGGACCTATTTTATCAGTTAATGTTATTGATGCTCCTAGTGTTTCATCATTTGAATGTCTGGTTTTTAAAATCAATGGTGTTTCACCTGTTCTTGTGCTGCTCATGTATCGAAACCTACCAAAACCAAATCCTGTATTTTACCGAGTTTACCGAGTTTTTGACATTTCTTAGTCCACTCTGTCCTGCTATGGTGTTGACTGGTGATATAAATTTTCATATTGATAATCCTAATTGTGTTAATACTGTTACCTTTTTGGACATTTTGGATGGTTTTGATTTTACACAGCATGTTGCTTTCCCGACCCATAGGTTGGGCCATATATTGCATGTGGTTTGCTCTGCTGGTGTTGGCATTCAATCTATGGATGGTATTGACAAGAGTATAAGTGCCCATAGACTTATTACTTTTAACATGAATGTTATGTCTTCACAATCCATTTCTAAACGCATTATTACATTTCGAAATATCAAGCATATGGACTCTCTTTTCGACTTCTCTCTCTGGGCTTCCAATTATTAACTCTGTTGAGCACTATAATTCCATGCTATCTGCACTTCTGGACGAGTTTGCACCTGTGCGAGAACGGGTTGTTACATTTAGGAAACCCTGTCCATGATATACTCCGGAGTTACGTTTAATGAAAGCTGCTGTTTGCTAACAGTTTGCTTACCATTCTGCTCTGAATACTGCACGTAAGAACTATTATTCAAGCATTATTGGAAATGCTGCAACCAATTCTAAATCTTTATTTAAGACTGTTGACAATCTTCTCAAACCAAAAAAGGCCATTGTTCATTCCTCTGTTGACCAGTGTAATAAGTCACTATTTTCTTCACTATTTCATTGGAAAGATCGAGGGCTTATACAGCTCTTTAATCTCTATCACCCCAGTTGAGCTAGTTGATATTCAGCCTTTAAATCCTCCGACCACTACCTTTTCGAACTTTGATATGGTTGGAGTCGATTTTTTTATAAGTACAGTTAATTCCATGAATTCAACTACCAGTATTTTAGATCCGGTTCCCTGCTCAGTTATTATGAACTGCCTTGCATCAACCTGCCCTCATATGACTTTGATTGTGAATTTATCATTGAGTTCTGGAAATATTCCTCCAGAATTAAATCTGCACCAGTCCCTAAGAAGCCTGGTTGTGATGTTTCTGATTTGTCCCATTACAGGCCAATTTCTAACCTTCCATTCTTGGCTAGTTCTAGAGCCTGTTGTGGCTATTCCAATAAATCATCACCTATCACTGAACAGTCTTTTTGAATCTTTTCAATCTGGGTTTAGAAAAGGCTATAGTACTGAGACAGCTCTAGTGAGGGTTGTAAATGATTTACTTATTGCGGCAATTTCAGGTGCATGCAGTATTTTGGTCTTATTAGACCTCAGTGCTGCTTTTGATACTATATGTCACTCTCTTCTACTAGATAGGCTGGAAAATTGGCTGGGTGTTTCTGGAGCAGTATTCAGTTGGTTTCGGTCTTATTTAACGAATCGTGCCCAGTTTGTAAGCTTGGGTAAATACAAATCTGACACTGTGCCTGTTCGACAGGGAGTTCCTCAGGGTTCAGTGTTGGGTCCAATTTTATTTAACATCTACATGCTTTCACTTGGGCAGATCATCAGGAAACATGGTCTTGCGTATCACTGATACGCGGATGATACGCAGATTTACATCACCACTAGTCCTGATGTTCATTGCTCATTAACAGCTTTGTGTAGTTGTCTAGCAGAGATCAGTTTCTGGATGCAGAATAACTTCCTGAAGCTGAACGGCTCCAAAACTGAATTGGTACAGTGGTACAGATTGGTACAGTGGCGACTACTCGTAGGCCGAGCAGATTAGTTTGATTGTTGATTCCAGCATGGTAATTCCAACTTCACAAGTGCGGAATCTTGGTGTCATTTTGGAATGTGCTTCCTCCTACCATCAGAAATGCAACAACACTGGGACACTTTAAAAAGCTGATTAAGACACATTTATTTAAGGCTGTTTTTCTTTAATTGTTGTATTGCCCTTGTTGTTTCTGTTTATTTTAATGTAGCGCTTTGGGTTTAAGAAAAGCGCATTACAAATAAAATGTATTATTATTAATTATTATTATTACTACCTGTGTCAGTTCCCGAGCTGCCTGCTATGGCCAGCTGCCCAGTCCTGGGGCTCGGTACTAGGACGGCCTGAAAGTATCTTAGGTAAGAAAACTGACTGCCATGGACAGTAAGGTTGGGGACTGAGCTACATGGTGGCCTGACAAGGCCAACTGTCTGACAGTGGTCAATCCTATCTGGCTGGGGTATAGGCCCTATCCTATATAGGCCTGGTTGGGCCTACTAGCTGATAGCCAGTCTATTCTGCTACAAGCATATACCGTTGGGAACCATACTACTACCAACACAAATATTGAGGCTACCCACGGGAGGCCTAAATAAGGCTAGCTAACTGGTCGCAGCTATAATGTATGCCCCATAACATTAGGACTCCCTTCCGAGGAGGCCTGTTTAAGGCCACCTCGGAATGCATGAGGCCTGTTTAAGGCCTTCTACCCATCAGTGAGTCTACTGCCCGAACCATTAAGGCCAACCACATGAGTTAAGCTGGCTGCTGAGGCCTACTACCTAACCGTGCAGCCTTCGTTGGCAGATAAGCTGTTTACACAGAGCCTACAGCATCCTGGTGCCTAAACACATTGCACATGGCAGTGTACTCAGCAAGAGCCCAACACCCTTTAAGCAAGGGGAGTACAACATACACCACTCTGCCTCAGTGGAGGCCCCAGATTGAGGGGCCTACCATCTATATGCATGGGCATCAGCTCATGGCAATGCTCTGGCTTCAAGGGAGCGTAATTCAAAAACCAGAGCAAAATTAGAAATCTACGCTTGACCCGAGCCATCGTGGTGTGAGGTAGATTGATACAGAGCTGAGAATGGAGTACTCAGAACTACCCTGTATCAACGGGGGAGTAACAACCACCTGCCCCTGAGAATTTCATGTGCCCAGCCTAGGGGAGTGGGGCTTGCTTGCAAGTCAACCACCTTCAACCCATCGCTTGAGCAGTAGCTCAGCGAGCTGAGTGGAGCCCAAATCCATATACTAGCTCTGTACGGTGGGGTCTGGCAAACAAAACAATCACTTCGCAGAGCGAAAGACGGCCTAACCCTGCCCGAAAAGACCCATAGTACTGGGGAGGCCTTACTGGAGGCTTAACCCTAGATCTTTAACAATCATGCCTCTACTAACAACCTGCATTACTCTTAGCACCCCCGCATGCAGAGAAGGGGGCGGGCCTTGGCCGAACGACTCCCTATTATGGAAGGAGGCTGTCATCTAGGGATGCTAAAAAAGCCTACACTCACATAGTGAACGGCCAGAAGCAGAAATGTTTCAGCAGAACGCCTCCACTATCCCTAGTATAGCCTAGGCCAGCTTTTGAGGTGGCCCTGGTGAGGGCCAGCCTATAAGCATAGATTTACCTGAGGCTCGGAGTACCAGCAGGAAAATGTCAAACGGCCACGTGGGCCGGGCATACGATCTATCTGAAGCTCCAGCGTCAGTCTCTAGAGAGAAATCTTATATACTCTCAAATAAAAGTATTATTACTAAGAGAGGAGACACACTACTCTACCCTGAGGTGGCTAATAGCCCGATGGCTAAAACAGATGTGATTAGAGATTAAAAACCAAGCGGAAGCATACAACGTTACCATTTTATTAAAATGCCGCTCTGCTGCTAAGTGCTCTGCTAACATTCCAGTAGGAATGAGCGGCGGCCTCAAAAATGCTCTCATAATGAGAGGAAGCCTACGCTGTTAACATAGTTCACATCTAGAATGAGCGGTGGCACACCCCGTAAATTCACAAAAAGGGAGGCCATCACATACTCTCACATAAAGCCCATATAACTGGTGCTTCTCACTATCGTTCTAGCCACCTAACAAGGGGGAACTTCAGGGCCCTAAGAAGACTTTTTTTTTTTTTACCTTACCTTATGTACATTAGACATTGACATGACCCCATAACTCTATACAAGGAACGAGGTCTGTAGAGAGATACATTTTAGTGTTAGTTGCACACAAAAATTACTCTTAAAGAAGACCAACTCAGCTCACCTGCAGCGTGCAAAGTGAAGACTCGCCACACAGTTCTTTATGACCATGGGGTCTACCACCAATACATGCCTGAAAGAGACACTCTCACTAACCAAGCCAAGGCGGGCCATCAGAATATCATATTCCACTGGAAAATTGGCGTGGGCCCAACCTCAGGCCTGATGTAAGAAGCGCATGGGGAGTCGTCGAAGAGGAGAGGGCTAAGAAATAATTATAATGGATAATAATCATGGATCTCTGGCCCTGTTTACGGTCCTCAGACCATGATGGGCCAGGCCCTCCCGCATGTCTGGGTGTGGAATGGGATCTCAGCGGTATGCAGGTGCTAAATGCAGCTGAGCGCACCTTCGCCTCTCTGAACTTTCCTACCACCGCCTCCACAGAGGTGCCAAAAAGTTCTGAGGGCGAAACCGGTGAATCAAGGAGAAAGCCCTTCTCTTTCTCCCCGATATAAGCCAGGTTTAACCACAGATGTCTCTAAGTGGCCACCATCGCCGCCATCGACCAGCCGATTGCAGCAGCGGTTTGTTTAGTGGCCCGGCGAGCAAGATCTGTGGTGCAGCGCAGCTCAGCAACCGCCTCAGGGGACATCCCTGCCCCCTGGTCGAGATCTCCCAACAGATCGGCCTGATACGCCTGCAACACAGCCATGGTGTGCAGGGCAGGACCAGCCTGACCTGCTGCTGTGTATCCTCTGCCATTCAAATGCGATGTTGCTTTTAAAGGTTTGGATGGCAGGGTTGGAGCTCTCAGTGTCGATGCCCACCCAGACGTGAGATAGTTCGCAAACGTCTCGTCAATGGGCGGCATCGACACATATCCATGTTCCCCTATCCCCTCAACATCACCGAATCTAGCCCGCAGATGTTGATGGATACGGGCAGAATATGGGTTCTTCCATGCCTTCTCGATCTCGGTATGAAGATCTGGAAGGAATGGAAGGCTCACCCGAGCTGGTGGTCTATGGCCGAGGAGAAAACGATCATCAAGCCTTCCGCAAGCGATCTCTCCCCTGTCGTGCTGCCATGACAACTGCAGCCTGACCGCAGCATGATCCATAACATCCACTAGCTCAGCATACACCGGGCAGAGTGGCTGAGAGGGTTCAGAATGTTTATCATCACCGTCGTCAGCCATTACCTGCTGATCCAAAAGAGCATTCACTGCTGGGCTAAGAGGAGGAGAGAAATCCTCCACCTGCAGCTCACCCTCGTCAGCCGCCGGATCGTCTGAGAGGGATATCCCCCTCTCAAGATGATCGGCGAGCTCCATCTGGGAACCCCAAGATGCGAGTCGCCGCTCTGCCTCAGCACGAGCGGGACCCAAACCACGAGGTCCAGATGCTAAACCCTCTTCACTCGAGAAGAGGGCTAGACGAGAGCGGAGCGTTCTCAAAGGAAAATTCTCACAGTTTGCACAGGCAGCTCCCTCGAAAACTGCCCGTGCGTGCTCTTCACCCAAACAAAAAACGCACAGCTCGTGTGTGTCACCCGGCGTCAAGTATGTTGGGCATGGGTCCGCGCACTTCTGGAAGCATTGTTTTGCTTTCTCTGTGCATTTAATTTTTCTTACCATTATTGAAGCGCTTTCAGACAGAACAGTCCCTTAAGACGAAAAGATGATTGTCATGTTTGCAAGGTCGTTTATACTTTCAGGTCGCACGTTAATCATTCACTCTAATGATTCACGGGCTGTCGCCAGTCAATATGATTGCCGTGATTTGATAGTGATTTCAGACACCTGTCATGCCTGAGGCTTTCCCCAAAGCGTCAATCGACGCAGTGCGAGTTCCCTTTCGAAAGAGAACAGTGATGTCATCATCCAGCTAAGTTGAGTTCTCATCCAATAGCAGTAATATTGCTGAATATTAAGTGACCCCAGTTAGTGGTCAATCAGGTTGAATTTGTTAAACATGTAAATATGTGGTATCCAATTGATGTGGCTCACCTCTGCATAGGGACATGTGCAGGTCGTGACCGGGCTCTACATTGGTCTTCTCTGTGCGGGGATACTGACCGAGAGCGATGCTGTATGGCCGCCTGCCTCTCAGGTACGGTCAGTGTGCTTGACCTCTCTCTGTCTCTGGAGTTCCTCTCTGCTGCTTTAATACATATACATTTTGTGTCACGAACTTGTTCCAGTTAAAACAATACACCTTTTTGGAGGGTCATCAGAGAGTGACAATAACACACCCACATTCACATTTCTAAAACTACTACAACAATTCATGCCAAAGGATTGTGCTGAGGTACCAGCACAACTGCTACTGCTCTACACATGCTAGAAAGAGAACAAGCACAAAAAAAGGCACTATATGATTGTACTTTTACAAATGTTTATCTGATTCTATCACCTTAAATGTGTTTATTTTCATAATCAATTGGTTTCATGTATTACATCAATGTTATCCAAGGCAGAGTTAACTATACGTGGTGCATTTTGTGATTTTAAAAAATGTATCGTGATGGTAACAATATGATATGGGAGGAAAAAAATTATTTAAATGCTTTTCATTCCCTCACAAAACATTTGCGTTCTCACAAATATCTTTACCATCACCATGTCTCTTTAGTGGCTCCATAAACATTTTCCTCTCTCTTTGTTTTTATGTATTTTTTGACATAGCAATTAAAAACCGGCAAAAAACTAATTAGAGATGCATTAAGGCTTAGTCAAGCAAATAACACAGTTTCAATGTTATAAATTAATTTCCCAGAATACAACTGTAAACAACTAAAGATCATGCTAAAGTACAACTGATGAAGGATTTGCTGGTTAAAAACACAGAGATTAGAGCTTTAATTAGGCTAACCCAATCCATCAAATCATGATGTGAAACAAAGCATTAACGAGACGTAAAAAGCGCGTGTATCATTTCTGTATAATTTTCACTGAAACATACAGATTCCACAACTACAGGTCACTTATGAAAATATCTGTGAAGTTATTGTATTTGAGCACAATTTAACATGTAGAACTGGAGAAACAGATTGAGTTGTTGTCAGGAATTGATGATCTTTGTAAGAGAAATCTGACTTTTACATTTTCTAACTTGCAGTTACATTAAAATGTAGATTTGGGAAGGAAATTCATTTTCTCCCAATCAAAGTTGAAATAAAATTAGAATAATGCTAAATTAAGTATTGAGCGCTAGAATTCATGACTCATGCATCTGATAAACTTTGATTGCTCATCAAAGCACTAACACTGAACAAGTATATATTTTTTTCAATTAATAAACAGAATATAAATAGAAAGCACTCAAATATCTGCACTGTAGACATAAGCATGTAAATAAACATTGCACTAAATATTACTGCATAGATAATTAACATAAATGTAAAAAAAAAGTCTCATTATCAACTCCTTATTATTGAAATTTATTAAGTTATACTGGTGCAACTCTATAGCATAAAACAATATACAGTGTTTACTGCAGGTCTGACAACTTGTAGTACTCATATGTTAAATATATGCATGGAACATAGTATAAAACATAAAATTTAAAAATATCAGCCATAGCATATTGTTCTTTAATACTCTAAATTCTATAGCAAGCTTTTCTACAGGCATGCAACAGAGATAACATCCATTGTCATAAGACCCATATTAATCCTGTTACATGCTGTAATACAGTCTTATAATCACTTTTACCCTTTTGCTATTCCAGCTTGACAACAAAATTAAACAGGTCTTATGAAGGTAATAAAAGTGTGTTTTTATAGAGAGTGATTGACTTAGAGTCATTTTCTCCACAGTGTCCATGCACAATTAATGTGAGGTACTTCTGTGGTTCAAATTAACACTACAGTTTATCCCAGCATAGGAGGAGAGAGACCGTATTCTGTACTTCAAATACTAACACAACCTTCTCTTATAATCCATTATTCTATTATAAATCAGCAATTGTCAACAAACTTTTTCATCCTATGCTTTCATCTGTGCCAATTAAGAATCATATTAATTTGTATATCAACTAATGGGCTTCTATACAAATAAAAGGCTTAGAGGAAAATTAAAAACAGCTGTATTTTCTACAGTACACATCTGCAGTAATAATACGTGACATTAGCTTTCTCTCTCACCCTGTGTTGGGTTTCTACTCTCCGAACAGAGTAAGCATTGCCCCCACCCACCTGAGGACACTACTGTTATACCATCATCATAATCTGTTTCAATGATGCGATGAGATCCTGAGACACACACACACACACACACACACACACAGCATACAATTCAACTGCTGAAAATAAAAACAACATGTACCATAATTGCATTATAACCTGCATTCAAAGCTAATCAATTTTACTTTATTTTCTTGTATAGTGTAAAACAATAGTTTTAAAGGTTTTTTGTTGTTGTTGCAATTTAGCAGTTTTAAAGTGCCCCTATTAGCCTATGCTATTTTAAAAGTTACTAATTTAGTTTTGAAGGTCGCCTACAATAGGTTTTCATGAATCAAAGGTCCAAAAAAATTCCTCATAAATTTCTCACAAATTTTTACAGTGTCTGAAATGCTTTGAGGATTTAGTCTCTCTAAACCCCTCCTTACAGAGAGCCTACTCAGCTCTGATTGGTCCGATGGCTCAGTCTGTTGTGATTGGTCCTATGCTTACAGTGTGTCAAAACTGCCATTACCATATCTGAATATCAGCTTACACAGTAATACAGTACGATTATGTCGGTTTTACTGTATCAATTTGAGCAAAGTGGATTTGCTTTCACAGCACAGAAAACAGCAAATTATCGATATGTCGACAACATGAACTAAACTCTTCCAGACCTCAGCTACAACTACAGTGTTTGAGGGTGGGCATTGTTCGCAGGCAGCCAATGACGACCATAGGCTGGCATTATGCAAACTATGTTACAAACCTATGTATGTACGTGCAGGAATTAAGACTAGACTTACTTACCACTTGTTACAGGCAGTTCAGAATCGATTTTTTTCTTTTTGAGGGACAATAGCTCCATTTATCGTGCACTTTAATCATCCAAACTTTGCAGACCTTTTACATTCACAAACAGCTATATAAACCACTATTTGACAGCTAATATCTCATAATAGGGTCACTTTAATAACTTTCAGAATTTTAAGTAATGGATCTTGATGCAGCTTTTCTCTGGTCTGGTCTGTTTTTTTTTTTTTTTTTACTTTATAAATGGCTTTGTACTGTGGCTCATTCCCAATTACCCTCTTCTCAGCATGCACTGGGGTATGAATAATTAATATGGTTGCACTTTTTGAGAATTTGCTTGATTTATTTATACAGTAGTTGTTGATTTTGTTTTCATGTTTAGTATCTTCTTATGTGATTTCAGGATGCTTCTGTTCATGTACTGTGATCATCAGTTAGCTGCAGTGTTAATCTATTCAACAACATTGCTTATGGAAATGTTTATTAACAAAGTGTTTTTTGATTATAAGTATTACTACAAAGCCAAGGCGTAAAATATGCATAACGATGATAATGTTTTTTTTTTAAGATAAACTTTTACCAAAAATATGAAGTAAACAAATAGCACAGCAAGATACTAACAATGCACTTTTTTTTAGATGAAGAAAAATCTCTTTTTTTTTTTAAATGATGATTGTTTCAAATGATCAAATTATGCTGAGGATTGTCCAGCTTGAGCTGTGGAAGCTGAACAATTAACACCAGGAAACTGAAGTGCTTAGTTAACCCAAATGCTTTTTCTGTAACAATGCAATAAAACCCATCTACAAATTGTAAAATGAATAACTGAAGAATTCACATTCACAAGTTGTTTCTTTTTTTTAATGTCGATAAGTGCTTAAAGTAATATATAAAATTAAATGAAAATTTGGTTTAATTTTGATTAACGTCAACAAAATAATTTGTGTCACTTAATTTGTGACTTAGTCAAATTTGATATGACAAAATATTCACTAAATTTAAAAGCTTTTTTTCACCAAAAGATAAAAACAAAAAAGTTTAGGAAAACAAGCACTTTGTTCTCCATGACATGTACATTTCTCATAGAAAACATCAAATGAAGCACACAATATTGACCATTTTAAAACCATGTAAATAAAGGAAATCATTTGCATAATTATTATTATTTTTTTAAGTTTTTGCTACTTATCTATCTAAAACGGGTTATGTATGCAACCCGGTTCCCTGTGAAGGGAACGAGATGCTGTGTCATGGCGTTGACACTATGTACACCAGATTGAGGAAGCTGCTCTGCCGAATCACCCATCTGCTTGTCTACCTCCAACCCCTCAGAGTCAGATGCAGAATACTATAAAATAACAATTTCTGCCTCATTCTGTGATAAGAAGCCACGTCAGTTCGCAGAAGGCAGTTATTTCAATCACTCGACTGACGCCATAACATGATTTTGGAATACAATATGCTGTTATTCGCATAAATTGTATTTTGATGCTGTACTAAGCTAAAAACGATAAGCATTTTAGTCCCCTCTAAATGAAATCACATAACATGGTTTACTTTTTTTTTTTAATTAATCCCAGAATTTTATCATTGATTGAATGAATTCTGACGATATGACAACAAGCTGCCAAATGTTTTCTTTCAAATGAGTCTACGATGTTTGAAGTCCAAGGGCTTCATGAACTATGAATTTTAATTTGGGTATGCCATTTTTGGGATTTGGGTTCCAAATGGGGATGCAAGTTAACAGGTTAAGGTAATAGTTGTGTTGTTAAGACTTATTTATAATACTGTTGAACTGGACAGTATTTTCTCTCTCCTGGTTATGCAATACTGTGATTAATTTGCTAAAAAAAAAAAAGAGCAAAACTCAAAATAAACAAAGTAAAGATACATTTGACTGACAAGATTTCTTTTTTTAAGGTCTCTATAGATATCTCGATACATCGTTACTGTGAATTCTTTTGGCCAAAAAGAATATTGTGACAGCCCTAGTAAATCAGAAAAATCTGATATCGTGACAGCCCTAGTACACACGAGGACTGACCTAGCGTGCTCTTAACCAATACAGAAAATGCATGTCATGTGAGTCGTCTGCCGTAAAAAAGCAAGTGCACTGCATCACACATATCCTATAGTTCAGTTATGACATTGTTCCCTTTTGAGGGAACTTGAACTGCGTCGATATGACACTTTGGGGAACCGCCCTTTTAGTGTAACGCGTCTGAAGTATGAATGAAACTATCCAATCCTATTGGTGTTCCGTGATGACGTAGAGTGTGACGGCACACCCGGAAGCTACAAACGGACGCCGTCACACAACAGCGTTAGCTTTCGCTCTTCAGCAAGCACTCTCTGTTGTGTGAAACGTCTATTTGGTGTTGTTTGTCCTATATATTATATCAAAAACAAAAGAGATGGCAAGCGAGCAGCTTCATCAGTGTGTGCACCCCTGCCCTCGTTATATTATGGGTGGGGACACACGCGAGATGTGTGTTTACTGTTTGGGAGCGCAGCACGCCCGGGCAGCCCTCGAGGGGCTGCTTGCGGCCACTGTGAAGCACTACCCATCAGAGTGCTGCGCTCCCGCCTGGCCATATTTGATGAAGCCGGCCAGGCTCGCGATAGGGCCTTCCTTCTTGACGCCCCTGTTTCTACGACTGGCTTGTTCGGCGCACGGTTAATACGGTCGTCGACAGGTTCCAGGAAGCAAAGGAACAGAGCGCAGCTTTCAGGCAATATATCCCTCGCCGCTCGAGGTCTAGGAAGGCTGCTGCCGGTGGGTAGCCTCAGCCGCTATAAAGCTCCTCATACCAGCACGGCAAAAAGGAGAGTGTCGCCTCTAGAGCTCCCCCTCAAAGAGCTTGGGACTCTAGACGGCGCTCCCACCCACAGCCTCCTGAGAAGGCGGATTTGAGAACCGCCCTTCGGGCCAGGAAGGCAAAGGGAAAGAGGTCCTAATTGCTATGGGTCCTCTGAGGGAGATGCTATGGGACCGGCCCCCACGAGAGAGAGCGATCGAGGTCCCCTCTCTCGTCGGGCCCTCAGGAAACTATTGTCAGTATCCCGCTGCCAATGGCGCTTCGGGACACATCAGTTTCCAAGGGCTCTCACAAAACACTCAATACCAGCCCCGAGGGCTGGTTCCCTTGGTGAATTTTGCTGAGGCATGGCAAAGCCTCTCCAATATATCGCCATGGGTCCTGCGCACTGTAGAGAAGGGGAACAGACTGCAGTTCCATGTTCGCCCACCGAAGTTCAACGGGGTGTTTTGGACTGCAGTGGACCCAGAACAGGGTCGAGTGTTAGAACAGGAAGTTCACTCACTGCTGGCAAAGGAGTCCATAGAGTATGTTCCTCCACCAGACAGGGAGTCCGGGTTCTACAGCCGGTACTTCATAGTTCCAAAGAAGGATGGAGGGTTGCGTCCTATTCTAGATCTAAGGCATCTGAATCGGTCTCTGAGGAGGTTTAGGTTCAAGATGCTCACCATTCCCATTATCGTGAACCAAATCAGGTCCGAGGACTGGTTTGTCACGATAGATCTGAAGGACGCATACTTCCACGTCTCCATCCTTCCCTCTCACAGGAAGTTCCTGAGGTTCGCTTTTGGAGGCAAAGCGTACTAGTATCGGGTTCTTCCATTCGGCCTAGCACTCTCCCCTCGCACATTCACCAAGTGCATGGATGCAGCTCTGGCCCCGCTGAGGCTCCGGGGCATCCGTGTGCTAAACTACATCGACGACTGGCTCATTCTGGCCCAGTCTCGAGATCTGGCAGTTCGGCATTGAGATATCGTCCTTGGCCATATTCAGAGCTAGGGGTTGAGACTCAACACGAAAAAGAGCGTGTTGACACCAGCCCAGAGAACCACGTTCCTGGGAGTGGTGTGGGACTCGGTGACGATGTGAGCACAGTTGTCTCCTGCACGGATCGAGTCCATCCTGGCCATGGTAACCAGTACCGAAGAGCATCCTGTCGAGGCAGGGGCTGAGGCCCGGGGAATGGAGACTTCACCCCGACATGGTGGAGTTGATATGCAAGAGGTTTGGCCAAGTGGAAGTGGATCTGTTTGCGTCTCGGGAGACGACACACTGTCAACTGTGGATCTCCCTCACAAACTCCAGCCCCGCTGGGGTTGGATGCCATGGTGCAGACATGGCCGAGACTGCGTCTGTACGCATTTCCCCCAATCGCTCTTCTCCCAGGAGTTCTAGAGAGGGTCCGTCGTGACAGGGCCAGCCTACTGTTAGTAGCCCAGTTGTGGCCATATAAGATTCCCATCAGGAGGGACCTGCTAACACAGGCAAGGGGCTCAATATTCCACCTTCGCCCAGAGCTGTGGAAGCTTTGGGTCTGGCCCCTGAGGGGGCACAGTACCTAGAGGCTTGTCAGCTGGAGTAGTAGAGACCATACTCAGCTCTAGAGCTCTCTCCACGAGGAAATTGTACAGCCTAAAATGGAATGTTTTCATCGTTTGGTGTAGAGAGCGTGAGGTAGACCCAGTTAACTGCCCGATGGCTTCAGTGCTGGAGTTCCTCCAAGATCGCTTCTCTGCTGGTCTTACCCCATCCACAATCAAGGTGTATGTGTCTGCTATTGCAGCTTTCCACACTCCTGAGTGATGGGCCTCTGGGAAGACATCAGCTGGTCATACGTTTTCTCCGTGGGGCTTGGAGGATGAGACCTGCAACTCGGACCAGAGTTCCCACATGGGACCTGGCAGTGGTTCTCGAAGGGTTGGTTGAGGCCCCCTTCGAACCACTGGAGTTGGCTGAGGCTAAGAACCTGTCGCTTAAGGTGGTCTTTCTCCTTTCCTTTACTTCTCTTAAAAGAGTAGGAGATCTCCAGGCGCGCTCCATATCTCCTCAGTGCCTGGAGTTTGCTCCTGGGAGAGTTAAGGCCATCTTGCACCCTAGACCGGGCTACGTCCCGAAGGTGAGGTCGATGGTTCTACAGGCATTTCATTCCCCACCTCATGTGACAGCGGAGGAGGGTAGTCTTCATCTGCTCTGCCCTGTTAGAGCACTTGACATATATGTTCAGAGGTCTTCTCAGTGGAGAAAGGCGGACCAGTTGCTGGTGTGTCTCTCGAGCCCTTCTTTCAGGGGTACCAATTCATTGGATATGTGATGCGGCTAGCTGGGCCACTACGCACACATTCACAAGATTTTATAGTCTGGACCTCCCATCGACACCTGGTGCACGAGTGCTCTTGTCCTAGTTGTGCCTGAGACAGCTTCACACTGGGATAGGCAGGTGTCATTGTGGCATAGTGGGTACTCGTTCCCCAAAGTGTCATATCGAAGCAGTTTGAGTTCCCTCGAAATAGAACATCCCGAGTTACAACTGTAACCCTTGCTCCCTGAGAAAGGGAACGAGAACTGCGTCCCTCCACCACTCTTCCTCCTGCCTGGGAGCTACTTGCTTTATCGCGAAGCTAACGCTGTTGTGTGACGGCTTCCCTTTGTAGCTTCCGGCTGTGCTGTTACACTCTACGTTATCACGCAAGACCAATAGGATTGGACTAGTTTCATTCATACTTCAGACGCATTACGCTAAGAGGTGGTTCCCCAAAGTGTCATATCGACGCAGTTCTCATTCCCTTTCTCAGGGAACAAGGGTTACAGTAGTAACCCGAGACGTTTTCTAACTCCTGCCTAAAGACTTTAAATACACACACAATACAGGAACAGACCCAGCTCAACAAACATGCAGCTTCTGAAGACAAATAAGCTGACCATGCGCATTTTTGGCATCTGCTTCAGACACTGGCTCACGCAGGAGCATTCCCATAGCGTCAACGCCATGACGCAGCATCAGAGTTCAACTTCGAAAGGGAACATACTTTATCTAGACATGTAATCAAGTCTTCTAGACCCAAATTGTAAGACATTGTATGGTCAATAAATATATTTTTGGTGGTAATATAAAATGTAGTGCTGGGTAACGATTAATTACATCCAAAATAAAAGTTTGTGTTTACATAATATATGTGTGTGTACTGTGTATAATTATTTTGTCTATATAAATACACATACATGCATGTATATATTTAAGAAAAAGATTTATATTTATACTGTATATAATATAAATTATGTATAAATATATATACAGTATATACATGCAAATATTTCTTAAATATATACATGCATATGTGTGTATTTATATATACAAAATAATTATACACAGTACACACACATATATTATATATATATATCACATATATTAAATAATCGCGATTAATCGTTGCCCAGCACTATGCAAATTATGTAAATAAATTAAAAATACAGTGACACACACATCACTAGCACACATACACTAGCTGATACTTACTTTGCAGTTTTTTACTAGGACTATCTCCATGAACATGTCTGCGGGGGAGGCAGGGGGATGGCTGAGGCAATGGGAGGGATGACACATCATGGGATTGCAATTTGTACCAGTGTGGCTGGTCATCCAATAGAGCTGTTTCCAGCTCAATCAAAATCTGGGCAAAGAGAAAGCCAGAAAGAGGAATTTGAACCATGTTAGAATAACTATTTGGAGGCCAAAAGGACCTGAAGGGTCCTGTGGAGTCAAGGGAATTGAACACATTACTTCACAAATGCACTTTTCATTGAATTCACTTCTGAAATGAATCTATACAAATATATTATATGTTGTTCCGAACCTAGTTATAGATACATAGATATCTTACTGAAAAAGTAATTGAAGCACACACACACCTCTCCCATGAATTCACTCTCTTCTTCCTGGACTCTGGGCTGGTCCCAAACAGTGATCTCCAACATGCGCTCTCTGAAGTCTCTCCGGTGGATGTGAGAATACAGGAACGTCTGGTTCCATTTTGGCTCTGCACTCTTCTTCACCGTTTTCGTCCTTCTCTTACTCTTGTCACTAGAGGAATGTAGTGTGTTTAAAAGAGTGTGTAGACTGCAAGACTTTGCAAATTTCTCCCAAAAATCAGCACAGAAATAGCAGATTCCATTTCCACCTGCTTATTATTCAATCTTTTAACATGGAATGAATTTCATAAACTCAGCATTACCCAAAATGAAAAATGCAAGTGAGGTCTTACAGTACAAAGCTAGTGCATTGATAAATATATCATGAAAGAAAGAAAAGAAAAAACAAAACCATTCCAAATAGTTAAAACATTTAAAATAATAAAATATTTCTGAGACCACCTACAGTCTCTACAATACCGTTCAAAATTTACGGTTGGTAAGATTTCTTTGGTGATTTTGAAAGAAGTCTCTTATGCTCATAATGACCTTTATCTTTGATAAAATCTTCATTTGATCAAAAATAGGGTGAACTGTAACGTGAAATTTAATTACAATTTAAAATAATGCGTATTTTCATGTGATTCAGCAAAGTAGAATTTTCAACAGCCATTGCTCCAGTCTTCAGAATCACGTGATCCTTCAGAAATCATTGTAATATGCTGATGTGGTACTTAAGAAACGTTTCTAATTGTCATTGTTGAAAATAGATGTGTTGCTTAATACTTTTGTGGATTCTTTGATGAATAGACAGTTAAAAAGAACAGCACTTATTGAAATATAATTTTTTGTAAAACTTTTAAGCGTTCTTGCTGAATAAAAGTATAATTTCTTTCAAAAGGAACAAAGAAACAAACAAATGGTACTGACCTGAAAAAAAAAACCTTGAAAAAAATCTGTAAATTTGAATATATTTAAAAAAAATTACCTTCTATCAGGAAGAAAATACATTTTGACGTAGGGATTTCTGGGTCGTCCGTCAGGTCGAGGGGGCAGTTCTCGTGCTTGTAGGACATTCACAATAAGCTGATGGCCCACTTTATCATACCATAATTTCACCTTGGTAAAAAGAAACAACACTTTATCAAAGTTCACAAAATGTTGGCTATACATTATTTAAATATGAGCTAGCAGATAATGTCATCACCAAACTACCTTCCTTTTCAGTTGAGAAAACAGGGCTAAATATTTTCTCTACAAAGTGGTTTTACACTTACCGACAGCTGGCCTGGCAGTACCAGAGGGAGGTCTCTCAACATCCCGGGACTAGTCGGTGACATTACAGAGATGGATGGATGGTCCGTCTTTTGTGATTCATCTATAGAACTCGAACCAGCTGTAAGTTTAAATAGCTGACATGTTAAATGTGCAGCTGTAAAGATTATTGGAGAAATGTCTTAATAACAAGGACAAAATTAGGAAAGTGATAATTCATGCAAATATGTCAATTTTCTTATCATTTACACACCCTAATGGAGTTCATTTTGATAGATTTCTTAGTCATAGTTTTTGTCATGTCATTCAGATTCATTTTTTTTTTTTAATTATTAAAAGTCAGTTTTACTCTTACTAAAATTATATATAATTTTATTCTATAAAAATAACATTTTAGCTTACAAAAGTGTAAAATTAAATAAAATATCCCCCAAAAATGATAGATTATTGATTTAAACATGAATGAACATGTAATTGTAAATTCTGAAATAATAAACATAACAAGGAGTACACTATTTGAATGAAAATATTGTAAATTCTTTACGGTTTATTATTCATTGTTAGTATATTAACAAACATTTTTTTTAATGTGATGACCAAAAAAATTGTTGTTAATGACTATTTTCACAAGTAATTTGTGATTCCCTGATCGGTCGGTCACTCTCGACTGATAAGAATCTCGCTAGAGAGGCCAATCTACTTCGAGTGAAACTAAACAAGCCAATACACATTGGCGTGCAATCATTTGCATCAGCTCTGCAGCCTCACAGTCCGGATATTTAACGAGCAGCTGGTGTGATTGCACTTCAGCTTTTTGCTTCTGAGCCAAGCACTTCAATGCTTCTACAATCAATACTGACTGTGAAATGTCTCGGTTACTAACGTAACCTCGGTTCTCTCTAGAAGACCTAGGCGAGGAAGCTTGCGCGCCTATTGGCTGCTCTGCAGCAACTGCTGCAACCTATCGAGGGACTGCTCGTGACGTAAGCACCAATGAGGGCGCTGGGGTGCCATGTACAACGGTCATGCAGTGTCAGGGGTGTGGACAACCCCCAACTGCATTGGCACATCAACTGCCTCGAGTTGCTAGCAGTACGTCTCGCTCTGAGCCGCTTGAAATGGCCGCTCCAGGGCAGGGACGTGCTGGTCCATACAGACAACACTGCGACCACATGTCGCAACTCACCCGCCATCTCCTCCTCTGGAGTCAGAAGCATCTGAGGTCGCTTCGAGCCATGTATGTCCCCAGTGTGCTCAACCGTGTGGCCGACGAGCCATCACAAGCTGTGCTCCCGGGAGAATGACGACTCCACCCCCAGGCGGTTCAGCTGATCTGGAGAGAGTTCGGGGAGGCTCAGGTAGACCTGTTTGCCTCCTCAGAGACCTCCCTCTGCAAATATGCGTTTCCCCCAAAGAGCCTACTTGCACAGACCTTGTGCAAAGTCAGGGAGGACGAGGAGCAGGTACTTCTGGTGGCTCCCTATTGGCCCACCCGGACTTGGTTCCCAGAATTCATGCTCCTCGTGACAGTCCCTCCCTGGCCCATTCCTCTGAGGACGGATCTTCTGACTCAGAGATGGGGCATCCTATGGCACCCGAGTCCAGACCTCCGGAAACTCCATGTCTGGTCCCTTGACGGGACGTGGAGGTTCTAGGTGACTTACCCCCAGAAGTACTTAACACCATCACTTCAGCACGGGCGCCGTCCACGAGACGTGTGTACGCCCTGAAGTGGAACCTGTTCGTCGAGTGGTGATCTTCTCGCCGAGAGGACCCCCTAAGATACTCGATAGGGTCTGTGCTTTCCTTCTTGCAGCAAGGGTTGGAGCGAAGGCTGTCTCCCTTCACCCTCAAAGTACATGCTGCCACTATTTCAGCTTATCACGACCACATAGATGACAAAACAGTTGGAAAGCACGACCTGGTCGTCAGGTTCCTTTGTGGGGGTGAGATGATTAAATCCTCCCCCTCCATACCCTCTTGGGACCTTTCCCTGATGCTTCGAGCACTTCAGGATGAAGGTTGTGTAAGCCCTCTCCTATCAACCTTTCAGACAAGAAGGTGTAGAGGTTTGGATGGGGTGCAGCAGCTGTGGCACTTTGGTAGGGATTCCTATCAGTCGGTCACGACGTACGTCGAGAGTGACCGACCAATAAGGGAACGTCTCGGTTACATATGGTAACCCTCGTTCCCTGAGGGAGGGAACGGAGACGTACATCTGCTGCTGCCCGCCGGGTGCATTCACACCAGCTGCTCGTTAAATACCCGCACTGCGAGGCTGTACAGCTGATGCAAATGATTGCACGCCAATGTGTATTGGCTTGTTTAGTTTCACTCAAAGTAGATTGGCCTCTCTAGCGAGATTCCTATCAGTCAGTCACGACATACGTCTCCATTCCCTCCCTCAGGGAACGAGGGTTACCATATGTAACCGAGACGTTAACGTGATTAACACTGCCCTCACGTAAAAAAAAAAAGATGACTGTCCGTAATTCCAGTCCACTTTCACCACATGGAAAAAAGTCACGTGTTCCATGTAAGATGGGTTTCAAATGGCATAAATGTGAGTAAATGATGACAGATTTTTCACAAAACCTACTTGATTCTAGAGGAGGATGTGATGTCCCCGGAAGTCTCGGTGTATCTCTGTAGGAAAATTGAAACACAGGAAGAAAAAAAATGTCAGATGATAGATCATTAGCTTCTCTCTCTGTCAGTTTTTCCACACACATAAACACTGACTGTCACTTGACTGCATTTCCCCTTTTGAGACATCATGGAAACACTGTCCAGTCACAGGAAAGAATAGGGAACCAGAAGGACCGCTGATGCAATGACTGAACAGTTTTAACTATGAGAGGAGGGTCTGGAGCATGTAGGGTGACAATGGGGACACTGGGAGGAATAACACTCTCAGATACTTTACTTACTGATATGCTCTATAGACCTTTTTCAAGAAGTTTTTGGACAGAATACGTTGAATACATCTTTAAAATGCAACAGGAAGAAAAATCATTGGAGTCACTCATATATCCAGAGGTTTGTTTTCTTTTATATCATTTCCAACCATGGTTGATTTTTGTGCTTTGTTTAGCTTACCCAATTGGTCTGGACACAACTATTTCCACTTGTGGTGCTGACTGGGACTCTAGAATAATATTGTACACTTCCTTTTTAGTTGCTCCAGGCAAAGCCTTTCCATTCCACTGCAACACCTCATCACCTGAAAAAATAAAAAAAACTATTTAGCACTTAGCGGTGTTCTGCATAGACAGACTGACTGAATAATGAGCTGTGAAAAATGTAGACATGCAACCAAAAATATCAACAGAGATCTAGCAAAAATAAAGCTATGGTCGAAATATTTTAAAATACTGCAATTTTCTTACATAGTTAGCCAAATTTAAATAATCATTATACCTGCTCGTAAATGGCCTACAATGTCAGCCAAACTTCCTTTTTTTACTTTGGTGATAAAGGCCCCCAGTCTCCCTGACTCCGTCATTTTCCCACCAACCACCTGGACAGGACAGATGACAGAGTCAACCATGTTTTCTCACAATCTGCAAAAACAACCTAACTACTGTTCTTAAGCTTCTTTACAAATTTCTTCTGTAAAGTATGGCACTAGCCACACTAATGTTATAGGTTTGACTCCTAGAGAACACACAAACTGATAAACTGCTTTACTTGAATACACTGTAATGGCTGTTTCACATTGGACACATAAGCTGGGCAGAAGAAGTGCAGAAGCTGTGCATATACAGAGTGGAAGCAGCACGCGCCCATTATGCTTTCACACTGCAGTTTAACCGTGGCTTGTGTACTGCAAATACAGACAAGTATCATCCATTGTGTCACCTTTTGTCATTGTGTCATTTTAGAAGTATGTAAGTAAACGTAAAATAAGAAAATAAAAAATATCAGGAGTATACAGACTGTTTACCTTAAAAACACCAGAACAAGAACAGTAAAAAAGCATACTTATGTTATGAATAAGATTGTACAGATTAAATGCAAATGTTTCCATGTTCTATAAATTCCATATAATCTCCGTCTATATTTTAAGACCACTATAAATTGTTAAAATAAATAAATCTTTCAAACCCTGAGTTTGACAACTTAAAAACCACAGATCGTTTTTAAAAAAAAAAGTACAAATGGAGGAAAAGCTTGAAGGTCTTAATGGAAAGATTTGGGAAAGTGTTGGGGAAGTAAAAAATGCAGGGATCCTGTAAGGTTCTGATTTGAATGCAACATACATAAATACATATGTATGTAAAAATTAGCAAAGCTGAAAATTATATTGCATCTGAAATTTTTAAATTCGTTTTAAATTTAAAAGAACATCATATTGTAACCACATCAACAATAGAACTAAAATCTTTTCATTTATTTCGATATCAGTATTCTTGTATTATTCATCATAATCTGTCACATCCGGCGCCACTTTCTTTCACCTGAAAAATTTCAATGAGCAACGGTAAAAGTGACCACACCTTTAGTGTAGCACAACCCTTCCAGTGCAATACAGAGACAATGCTATTAGCTGGTGTAAACAGTCATTGACAAGCTCACCTTCAGACCCAGTAGGGAACCGGCTTCTCGTGGCATGGTGGAGCGCTTACTTAGAGTGATGCGGCCAATCAAATGATCTCCCTCTTTGGATGGCTGCCAGCTCACTGGATGCTATGAGGAACAGAACAATGCTTTTTCAGTCCCATTAATGCTGAAAATACATGTACTGACACACATTTCAGAGAGTTCAGCTACAGAAAAACTCAAGTTGTAAGTTGTAATCAAACAACTTATGTGTCTGCTATTACGCCCATTACCACTGATACATGTTTGCAATATGATTAAAATCAAATTGAAATACTTACATGCCACACAGTGGGATCCAGAGGATGACAGTCCCAGTCACCTACTAAATATAAATTGAGATTATAATTATGGTTGGGAATCGAATTACGATTCTAATTCTGCAATCGAATACTTAAGGTCAGGAATCGGATACTTGTTATACAATTAAAATTTCGATTCCTCTTATCGATTCTTTTGTGTGCATTTTAATATGACTTTAAAACCATTCAAGCCCTAGACCCGTGCATTGTTTTCTGTGCTGCACACACATCCAAAGCGCGATCACAGAAAAAGTGATTTAATGTGATTTTAAACCATTCACGTGTAAGAACAATTTTAAACCATGCGCTGTTTTCTGTGCTGCGCACACATCCAAATCGACGTGAGAAAGCTGCCTCTCATACTGAATAGTGCACATGATACTGAACAGAGTTCTCTTCCGCATGTTTGAACGGACAAATACACACAAAACACCACTTGCTATAATAACGTTAATCAAACAACAAAAGACAAAGCTAAATAACTTTTGTAACTATATTTGTAATGTATATTTTATTCATAAAGTGCAGTATTATTTTACATTTGGCGTTTTTATTACTCAACAAGTGAGTATTTTTTTTATTGAAAAGATAAATTGCCATATGTAGCTCTCAAAAGAGAGTTCACTGTAAAGTATTATTTATTGTGAAGGGCCATTTAATTATGGTTGTTGTAACGCTGTGATGGAATTTATTTTCAAGGAAGTATCGTGTCTATTAATGGGTAAAGTTACAGTAATGTCTTTAGCTATTCAGCTTGAGATCCTTTCCATCTAAACTGGTTATATCTCTTAAGCCTAGGAGTGAATGTTTTATGAGCAGTAGGATAATCTCTGTCTCTTTTTTTAGTTAGAAAAAGAACCATATTTATCCGCATAGTCACACAGAGCCGAAGCACAACCAAAACAATGTTCCCTTTCGAAGGGAACTCAACAATACGTCATCGACGCTATGGGGGAACGCCTCAGGCGTGACAGGTGTCTGAAATCACTATCAAATCACGTCAATCACATTGACCGGCGACAGCCCGTGAATCATTAACGTGAATGATTAACGTGCGACCTGGAAGTATATAAGGGCGCCTTGCAAACATGACAAATCATATTTTCGTCTTCAGGGACTGTTTTGTCTGTAACTGCTTTGAAAATCAGGTAATTATGAAATGCTTTCAGAAGTGTGCAGACCCGTGCTCAAGATATTTGAAGCCGGGTGACACACGTGAACTGTGCATTTTTCATCTGGGAAGGAAGACGCGCACAGGCAGTTCTCGAGGGAACTGCCTGTACAAATGGTGATCGCGCCTGTCCCTCTTCTCGAGAGAAGAGGGTTCAGCGTCTGGATGTCACAGATGAAGCTCGCCGATCGCCTTGAGAGGGGTGTAATCCTCTCAGACGATGCGGCGGCTGACGAGAAGCTGCAATTGGATAAAGTTTAAAAAAAAAAAAAAAAAAAGGGAAAACTTAGTCCGGCAGCAAGCGCTCTCCCGGACAAACAGGAGATGGCTGATGAGGGTGGTAATAATAAAATATTTTCCTGTATCTTCTCAGCCACCCTGCCCCGTGTATGCTGAGCTGGTTGGTATTATAGAACGCGCCGCGGGCAGGCTGCAGCTGCCGTGGCTGCTCGTTGGGGGAGAAATCGCTCGCGATGAGAGCGGTTTTTCCCCGGTCATAGAACCACCAGCTCAGGTGAGCCTTTCATTTCTTCCCGATCTCATACTGAGATCGAGAGGACATGGAAGAACCCATACTCTGCCTGTATCCACCAACATCAGCGGGCTAGTCTCGCTGATGTTGAGAGGATAGGAGAGCGTGGGTATGCGTCGATGGGAAAACAATCGACACTGAGAGCTCAAAACCCTGCCAGTTGAATGGCAGAGAATACACGTCAGCGGGTCAGGCCGGTGCTAGCCTGCACATCATGGCGGTGTTGCAGGTACACTAGGCCGATCTGCTGGGGGATCTCGACCAGGGGGTGGGGCCCCTGAGGCGGTTACTGAGCTGCGCCGCAAATGAAAAAATGTATGTATATATATAGCTCTCCGGGATGGCAATGATACTGGCCACGGAGAGACATTTGTGGTTGAACCTGGCGATTTCGGGAAGAAAGAGAAAGGCTTTCTCCTCGATTCGCTGGTTTCGCCCTCTGAGCTTTTCGGCACCTCTGTGTTGGCGGTGGTTGGAAAGTTCGGAGAGGCGAAGGCGCGCTCAGCTGTATCCAGGACATACATACCGCTGAGATCCGTGTCCATGCCCAGACAGATGGGAGGGCCTGGCCTACCATGGTCCGAGGACCTTAGATGAGGCCAGAGAGCCAGTGTCACCTCTCGTGCGCCTCCTCCGTGGAGTAGTAGGTCGCAGAGGAGGCGCGACTCCCGCAAGAAGAGGGATCTGAGGGAGGTGATCCGGCACAAACGCACGTTGCGTTGGTCTTGGATCATCTTCCCTGAGGGCGTGATTATATCTTTGCCCTTTCCTCTCTTCCCCGACTCCCCAGGCGCTTCTTACATCAGGCCTGAGGCTGGGCTCATGGTTAGAACAATGTTCTGATGGCCCGCCTCGGCTTGGTTAGTGAGAGTGCCTCTTTCAGGTATGTAAAGGTGGTAGACCCCATGTTCATGAAGAACTGTCTGGTGAGTCTTCACTTTGCACACCGCAGGTGAGCTGCTGGTCTTTCAAAGAGTATTTTTTGTGATTAAAAAATAATATGTTTCTCTTTACAGACCTCGTTCCCTGTATAGAGTTATGGGGCCATGTCAAGGTAATAAGGTAAGAGAACTTTTTTGGATTATCAGGGCCCTGAAGTTCCCCGTTAGGTGGCCAGAATGATAACTATGTTAGCCTTCGGGCTATTAGCCACCTCAGGGTAGAGTAGTTGGTCTCTCTCTGATAGAATGTTTTACTTAGAGTGTTGACTGACGCTAGAGCTTCAGATAGATCTTATGTCCGGCCCATGGGACCGTTTTGACTTTTCTGAGTATTTCGCCCCTTGAGCTCTGTTGAGTTTTCATTAGGTTGAGCGTTCTGCAGCCCTTTTGTATGGAATAATACAGACTATATTCTTTAGTAGGCTGTGGCTCCTCTGAGCCCTCAGAAAGATCTATGCTTACAGGTTGGCCCTCACCAGGGCCGCCTTTGTAGCTGGCCTAGGCTGTGCCAGGGATATTAGAGGCGTTAAATGCTAAAATTAGCATTTCTTCCTCTGACCCTTCACTTTGTGAATGTAGGTTTTTGGCATCCCTGTATAATCAGCCTCCTCCCATGGGAGTCGTTAGGCCAAGGCCCGCCCCCTTCTCTGCATTCTGGGGTGACTAGAGTAATGCAGCGTGGTGCAGAGGATGGTTTATAAGGACATGGTAGGCCTCAGTTAGGCCTCCGTGGTATATAAGTCCTTTTGAGCAGGGTTAGGCCGTCTTTCGCTTCACGAAGAAGACTGAGTTTCCTGCCCGACCCTGCCGTGCAGAACTGGCCTACGGATTTAGGCCGCCAGTATGGGCTTCACTTAACTCGCTGAGCTACTGCTCGAGCGCTGGGTTGTAGGTGGTTGGCTTTCATTCAAGCCCCACTCCCCTAGGTTGGGCACAGATACATTTCTGTCACCCCTAGAGCCGCTGGCAGGCCCACCCCCTGGTAACCTCAGGGTGAGGTGTGAGTATTCCCCTGTGATTCATGGTAGGTCTGAGTACTTCACTCCCAGTTCTGATTATCCTACCTCGCACCACTATGGCTCGGGTCGAGTATGAAGTAAGCCTTCACTTCTTCTTCTTTGGTCGAAGTACGCTCCCCTGTAGCCAGAGCATTGCCCTGAGCTGACGCCCATGCATAGATGGTAGGCCCCTGACTAACTGGGGCCTCCATTGAGGCAGAGTGGCGTATGTTGTACTCCCCTTGTTTTTTAGGGTGCTAAGCTCTCTTGCTGAGTACACTGCCATGGGCAATGTGATTAGGCACCAGGATGCTGTAGGCGCTGTGTAAACAGCTTATCTGCCAACGAAGGCTGCGCCATCAGGTAGTAGGCCTCAGCAGGCCTCCTTGTATGGGCAGCTCCCAATAGGGCGCTGTAGGCCACTTCTCGAGAGAAATGGTTGGCCTTGGTGGTTCGGGCAGTTGGCTCACCGGTGGGTAGTAGGCCTTAAACAGGCCTCCTCGGAGGTAAGTCCCAACATTGTGGGACATACTTTATAGCCGCTACAGGTAGCTAGCCGTACTAGGCCGCCTGTGGGTGGGCCCAATAGTTACGTTGGTGTGGTATGGTTCCCAACAGTGTTCCTTTGTAGCAGAATTGACTTGCTATCAGCTAGTAGGCCCAACCAGGCCTCCCTGATAGGCGAGTCCCCAGCTGGTTGGCCTTAGCAGGCCGCCTTGGAACTGTCACCCGAACTCAGCTACCAGTTGCTATCAGAGGCCTCACCAGGCCTCCCTGGAGACAAGCCCAAGGACAGACAACTGGACAGCTAGCCTGAATTTCTATCGGGTAGCAGAAAAAGCTCCCAGATATTATGGCTGTCAGGTAGTAGGCCTCACCAGGCCTCCCTGAAGACGAGTTCCCACATGCTGTGATTATCAGGTAGTAGGCCTCACCAGGCCTCCCTGAGGGTGAGTTCCCCACGTACTATTGTTATCGGGTAGTAGGCCTCTCTAGGCCTCCCTGTAGGTGACCACATTCTGTTGCTTTCAGGTAGTAGGCCTCACCAGGCCTCCTTATGAGTGGTTCCCTAGCGGTGCTGGGTTTAGGAAGCTAGTGGCCTCTTGCTATCATTTCAGCTGGCCTTATTAGGCAGCTGCTGAAGGCGAGCTTGCGCCCTGGCTCGACTAAAGTGTTCATTCTCTGCTACTGGTTCCCTCTCGGAACCTCTTTCCTGCCTACAGCCTGGTTTTGCCTACCAGGGGGACCATATGCTCCCCTCATTGAAGATCGCTGTGAGCACGCGGACTCCTGAGTCTGGTCAGACGGTCGTAGGCCTCTCGTGAGGCCTCCCAGTTAGATCAGTCCTTAGGCCTTCACAGGCCTCCTCAGTGTTTTGAAA